AAAAGTCTTTGCATACAAGAACAGGGAGAAATTAATGATAAATGACAATTATAATTTATAATTAGTTTATTATTACCACTGTTTTTTTTTTTTTTTTTTTTTTTTTTTTTAACACAAGAATCCAATCTATTTGTGGGTAGCAGCACGTGTTACCTGGCCCAGCGTCCAATATGAAAATTTAACAGATAGTTTAGAAATATGGGTAAGAAACAAAAACATATGCACAATTCAGAAAACGACTTAGACACCCCCAATCAATCCCCTGTACCCCACTCCGGCAAGACTTACTGCAGCAGAGTCACCATCTCCGCTGCTGCTGTACCCTATTCCCATCCTACCAGCTAGCCCCCTTACTAGTAGGACGCGTGATATCCCACCTTGTCCTTTTCTCACTCACCTCGATCTCTTGAGAAAACGTCTGAGCAATACGGAAAGGATGAGAATAGACCGCACATGTCCTACAAATGCTCCAAAACCCTTGAAATCCCTAACAAACCCTTCCAAAACTCTCCAACACTGTTTTACTCCCTGTTGAGCTCTTCCAGGCCTCACGCCCCCACATCCTGCTAGGTTACAGGGCAATACAACTCATCCCAGCTCCGACCACTGCTTACTATATGATAAATTATATTTTTTTCTTTTTTATTTATTTTTTAACAACAATTAATAAAATGCAGATTGAGAAATACTTAATAAAAGAAAAGAAGAGTGTTGAGCATATAAAAAAAAATAGTTGTCAAATAAAATTTCAGTGAGGTAAGTATCATTAATAGTCAATTTGAAAAAAAACGATAAATTATTAAAATATTGTCGTATAATTTCTCTAGTTTGTCATGGACAAAAACTTGAGAATAGTAAGAACGAATGGCGTCGAATGGAGTGAGAGAAGAGGAGGAAAATGAGAAGTTGAGACAGAAAAAGGAAGAAAAGAAAATAAAGGAAGAATTAATCGAGCATTTTAAAGATCTTAGGTCATCTCCGAGTCTTTCGGGTTGTGGGGTTAGTGAGCGGTTGGGGTGGGGTGGGGAGGGGGGGGGAGGTATAACAGAGGGAGGATGGGGCATTAACATGAGGCGGTTGCAAAGGAGAGTCAGACTCCGAAGTGGAATCAGATGTTCGCCCGGTGCGCTTCCTCACAAAGGGAGGAGCGTTAGTTCTCTTCCTTGGCAGCATCTTGACAGTAGGGAATTGGATCGATGAAGGCGAAAATGTGCATGCCACTCTTCCTTGACGATAGGATGAGTATGGGGTAACGAGAAAGCTACTTATGAATGGAATCGTGAAGTAGAGGAGGTCCGACCGAAAAAAAAGAACGTTTCCGCAGGCTTGGTCTCTGATCAGTTTGTACCATATACCGGGTGTGGAAAAAAAAAGGACACTCAAATGCAGATGCGAAAAATCAGTTTTTGCCGCCTGGGCGAAGAAACCTTTGAAAAAGAAAGTCAATGGCGCGACGAAAAACGAAAAAGAAACCAAACTTAGGAGGTTATCGACGAGGCCAAATAGTCTACCATTTACCGAATGCTTGAATGCTTCCTTGTGAATCGATGCCGTATAGGGTGAAAAGAAGAAGGAGGGGGTGTAAAGGATGTGCACATGCTTTTGATGAATATTTACGAGGTTCAAAGCGACTCTTTCTTGGTCTTTAAACGATAAAAAATCAGACTTTCGGCTCCCACGAAAATGAGTGAGAGGAGGAGAGACGTGCAGGAGTGGGAAAAAAACTCAACGACTATTCTTTTGGCGAGGAAAAAAAATGTTATGACGCCATTTTGAAAGGTGTATTATGCTTCACACCTTACGTAGTCGATAAGATAATCTACAAGGAGAGAAGCTTCGTAGCCCTGCTCAACATACTTGGCTTGGAGGTCGACAAAGGTGTGGGGATTGACCAAAGGGAGCAAGTAGACATGCAACGGAAGAAGGAGATTGCTGGGAGGATAAAGTACGAAAATTCGCTCAATTCGTTCGTCTGCGATCATGGGAGGGGCATTAGAGGTGGTGAGCAATGGTGTGATTAGACTCCTGAACTCGCAAGCCATCTCTTCATCGAAGAGGGAGTAGTCGGAGTGAAAGGTAAGGTTGGGAGGGAAGCATGAAAGGACGAAAGGGTAAACATCTGGCCTTCGGAAGACAGAGAGGAGTGGTAGGATGAACATAAGGGGGCGGAGGAAGAATATGTGGAAGATGAGATGTGGCGGGGTTGGGATGATGAGGGTGGGTGATCTCCAGTCCTGCCCGCCGATGGGTTCATCGTGCAAGAGACTTACCGAACCTTGTTAACCGACCAACGACAATGACTTGACAGACGATTGACTGATGAGAGAATATCTGACCAGACGCGGCTGAGAGGTGGCTGACCGAGCGGAGGAAGTGACGGAGCAGAGTCCGATTGACCACCAGCGTTGACCAATAGGAACCAGCAAAGCGAGAGGAGTGAACTCGAATCTAGAGAGGGGAAGAGTGATAGAGAGAGGACGTGTAGGCTGCAACGAGAGTTGCAGCTGTCAGCCAAAATGAGGCAAGGGAAGTGACGGGTACTCTGTGAGTGGTGCTGACTGGCTTGGCTTGGCTGCGCAGGTTCACTCACGCAATGACTGCGGCAGCTGGTCGGGCGCCAGAAGGCGTGGCTAGAGAGGGAGCCCAAGCTGGAGTGGCTGGGCAGTCGCCAACACTATCTACACTCGCGTCGCCAGCTGAAGGGACTGGGAGGACCGCCGAGACAATACTGCAGCCCGGGGGCCATGTCCCACTAGCGGGGGTTTAGTTTATATTTCGTGCAGTTTTCAATGCGGTCACACTGTGGCCATGGGATTTTCAGATCGGATGGCAGGGAGCCATGCATTCTCGAAACCAGAACTGAACCTCGACGAGTGGGACACGGCCCCAGGTGAGGTTCCGAATTGAGCTCCCCAACCCGTAGATGATTGCTTGGTAGAAAATCCAGGTCGTAGATAAAGTAGATGCCCTGTGGGAAATGATGTGCGGCTGTAGATGAACAGAATAAAGGAACAATACGATTGAATCTCGAAACTCAAAAGATCAAAGCAACATGGGGGATTACCCAGGGAACAATGTAGTAGAAGGCTCACAAGTGCGACTATCATTGTTCCAAGCTCTATAAAATGTATGGGACGCTGGACCCGCTTTCCCGCAAGTGCTGCTCCCCGGTAATAGATGGAGCCATCCAAAAACGGGGTCTGCTAATGGGCGATGCTCCTATCACCTCCATTAGCAAGATCCACGACAGGGCGATGTTTTCAAAAAAAAAAAAAAAAAAAAAAAAAGATTGGCGTCCCAGGTGCCAGGTCCCCACCGTAAGTCCCACGTATGAAAACCGAAGATAACCGTGGATGTGACTACCGTAGAGCCGACGAAATAGTGGCCAGTTGAGGACCCCGGAACTGGCCCCGTAATAGTCCTCGCTGCACTACTCTCGAAATGTGCGAAGGGTTTGTCTTTTGCGCATGTCAAGAGTAGTGCAGCGAGGCCCATAGAGTGGTTGCTGCACTCATGAACTGTTGAAATCGAGACAGGTTTCCACAGGAATGGAAATTCGCAATTGCCTGGGGCTGATCAGTTTCAGTTCGACGATGATATCTCAAGTCTCAATTGCCTGGGGCTGGTCAGTTCGACGATGGTATCTCAAGGCCATCGCCTTCCGAACGAAAAAGGGGACCCCTATACTGCAGTCCTCGTGGCGGCAATCCAGTGCTGTCATTGGATCTAGGGCCTGCCCGCGCTCAACGGTCAATCGGCGGCGAATCTCGAAGAATAGAGCGGGAGGTAGAGCGGCGCCTTTTGTCCCCATTGACAGGGACGGCCAGCCGGTTTCGGAAAATGACGAGAGGCTAAAATGCCGTCAGATTCGAGAGATCGACCACCCAGAATGCTCGGAAACGATTTTGATCGTTGGGCCTTGGCCTGTGTTGGCGGTGGTGCGCCTCCGTCCATATGGAGTTGTTGGGCCTCGGTCCAGTACTATACTAATAACCAATTGTGCAAAATGAGAATGAATCTCCCAGTAGAACATGCAAAGATACACAGCCATAAGTTTTGTCTTTTGTGCGTGCGTTGAGTAGCGGAGCGAGGCCCGTTGTTCCAGACGACCGACGAGGTTTCTCTTTTCGGTTTTGTATTGTTTTTGTTTTTATTTTTTGCGGCGAGGCTCCAGTCAGGCGGGCAATTTTGAAAGTTCTCGACCGTTAGGGCGGCGCCCCTCGTCGGTTTCCGCCCGAAGGACCAAAAAGGGTCCTGCCGAATCCCAACCCTCGACTCAGACAATCGGGCCGGCTGTTGTCTTTCCTCTTTTGGCCCTGGCCGCGCCAAGGTGGCAATGTTTTTTTGATCTGTGCCCGCTGGTTTCGGGTGAGTGATCACAACCGCAGTGTCATCAATCGAGAGAGAGAGAGCAAGAGAGAGAGAGAGAGAGAGAGAGTCCGCGCATCCGTAAGGAGAAGCGAGTGGCGAGCATCATTAGTCAGGGAGATTAGGAGAGGTGCGCCCGTCCGCAACGCCGAGACCGGCGAACGCGAGAAAAGAGAGGCGGAGAAACACACACACACACACACACACACACACACACACACACACACACACACACACACACACACACAAACACACAGACAGAGAGAGAGAGAGAGGAGAATGACCTGGGTGTGTGTGAGAGTGAAGGAGGAAGACCGATCTGATGTCAAGAGGGCATGAGAGAGAGGACGCTGTGCAGACAGACAGTGAGGGGTTGTCGTAATCGCTGCTGAGGTTCCCGGCGCAGGCAATCGGGTTTGGATTGGACTTCGATGAGGAGCTACCGTACTCCATGCATGCCATCGACTCTAACGACTTCTGCCCTGCTCATCCCCCGTCCGCCATAGCGGCATTCCTTCTTCCCTCTCCTCTCTCGGGCGAGCACGGCTTTCTCATTCTAGCTGCTTTCCTTGGTCGTTCGACGCTCTTTCACCACGAGAACATTGGGATTTTACCCGTCAATTCCTGTAAGAGCGATTAATAGATCCCCCCTCCCTCCCCCCCCTCTCCCTCCCCCTCCTCTTGCGCGTTTTTCCCCTATTGTTTGCAGATCTTGCATTTCTACTCGTTCTCTGCCCGTCGCGATTTCCCCTTTCTCGCTGGTGATTAGCCTGGTGGGCAACCAAGCCAGGCAAGCTGGATTCTCCGTCTTCAGTTATGGAGCCTGTCTTGGACATGGGTGCTTTTGCGGGGGTTGTTGATGCCACGTGCGGTGCTCTTCTCCGGGAGTTACAGGTATGGCATTATCATCAGCATGACTTGCGTATCGAATTCAATGAAATGTTTGTGTGATGAACGAGGGGGTGGGTAGGGATGTTGGGGTTGCGTCGAGGGGAACGGGATCGCATGTTCCCGAATCGTTCATCTACTATTAAATCTCATATGGTCTCGTTTGCGGGTTAGTTCATCGTGTGCTTGAACTAATCCATCTTTGGTTGTTTTTGCCCCTGGCCAGTTTTTTCAGTTGGCATGTTTGTGTGTGTATTACGACCGCCTTCCTGCCCCCGCTTTTAGTTCTCTACCTTGTCATGCTGTTCGGTCCGTCGTTCCCCGAACTCACTGGTGCTGGACTCGTCTCCGTTTCCAATCGACTCTGAACGCAATTCCCGAGCACGGTTCCTTGACGTGTCATGTCTGTTGAAATACCTTGTCATGCTGTTCGTGATTTTTAAAGGAATTCTGCTCTCAGCAAGTGGATACACAAGGCTGTGAACGAGGAAGGACTAACGAGGGTGAGGTCGTCGAGGATGAAGAGTACTACCTTCCAGTCTTAGACGAGGTGGTGTTTGTAAATCGCAAAGAGACAAGCTGCGATCGGTGTGGAACTATTTCGTTTCCTGATTCATCCCCGATTCGTCATTCGCATTTGCTCACTACGTGATATTTGGTTCCGCTGGCCGTACACCTCAAGAGTTCAGAACCGGTCCTCCTCGTCTAATGCTTCCCACATGCGGTCTCTTGTTTCTTTGCGAGTCTACTGTCTTTGGTGGCTTGACCTTGGAACGTTCTGGCTCCCGTACTCCACCATACCGCTGTTGGCGTTGTAACCGATTACTGAATGTGCTGCACAAATCAATCTCCCTTTCCCCAACTGCCTCGGAACCGGCATGTTGATTCTCCGCTTAATAATCATGACCTTGAGCACACTTATATGCACCTTTTCCGCTCCGAGCCTTACCGCCGCTCTTGCATTTGTATCATAGCCGCGCGCGAATTTCATGTTCTTCGATGCGGCTCTGTTGACGTGCCACCTATCAATGTGTCCGCATTGTTTAGGTTGATTTGCATTTGTCTAATCTACTTCAGAAATCCATCTACCTAAGGAGCGGACCTACGTTCTGTCTCCCTGCGGACCCCCGTATGTCGTTTCTCCGCTCAAGTGTCTGCTTGCACACACTGAGTGGATGCTTCTCTACTGAACCCTTTCGCCTCTTCTGGGTTGCAGATCTTGTCTCTAAGCTTCAGCTTGCACACACTGAGTGGATTCTTCTCTAATGAACCCTTCCACCGCTTTCGCATTGCCTCGCTTTGCCTAAACTTCATTCCGTTTGTCCGTCATTGCTGTTCTCTTTTGCCTATGACGTGATTGAGGCGATCGAGAACACGTTCTTCCTTGCTTTGTTCCGGTTTCAATCATCGAGAGGTCTCTCCTTTTGGAAGAAAATACTCTCAATTACTCCGCGGTCATCACTCTTTCACCTCGCGCTCGATATCTGTTTGGTTCGGTGCGTAATCATCTTATCCATCACGCTATTGCTTCTTGGAACGGCCTCCGTTGAGTTGAAGAAAGCTTTCTCATCGGACTTTTTAGGGGGAAAAAGACTCTTCAAGGTAGTTACCCCTGTCTCGCTTTCTTCTTATTTACTCGAAAGTTTTATATAAGCGACGTTCTCGTATCGATCATCGATCAGTCTTCCTTGGTCTTCAACGCAGCCCAAAACATTTCTCCTGGCCGGCCAGCCTTCCTTGTCTTCACTCTAAGGTTTCACCGTTTTGTCGCTTTCTCCTTGCCGATTCGTTTTTAATCTTTTCAGTTTAACTCCTTTCCCATTCTGCCAGTCCATCGCGTTTCTCTTTTTTTTTTTTTTAATTTCCCGTGGATCGTACGTCTCGGCATTCTTCCAACAACTCCTCCCGCTCATCGTCTGTCTGTGAGTACTCACCTCTCGATGGCCCTCGCCGTAGTTTCGAAGACAGATCGCTCTCCCCCGTCCTTAATGAACTCCTCGTCGGTCCCTGTTCCTCATTGCTAGGCTCTTCTATCCTCTGGTGATTCTGATTGTTTAGATATTTTTTTGTCGTCGTTTGCAATTTGCCTCCTGTGGAAGGTCATGTTTCCTCTTTGTACGTCGCTTACTTTCATTTGAAGGTTGATGATTCGGTGTATGTACTTACACTTTTATTTGAAGGTTGATGATTTGTTGTATGTACTTTCTTATTTCGTAGTTTTTGATACGTCGTGATTCCGATTCGGCTTTGAACGTGTTGACTGATGTGTTCGGCATTTATTATTCGTTTGCAGCACATCTGGGATGAACTCGGCGAATCGGATGCTGACCGGGATCGCATGCTGCTAAAGCTGGAGCAAGAGTGTTTAGACGTGTACAGACGGAAGGTTGATGAAGCAAATCGCCAGCGTATCAGCATTCAACAGGCAGTTGCTGACGGCGAGGCTGAAGTTATGGCCATCTGCGGAGCGCTAGGGGAAAGATACGAACCGGTAAAAAGCCATAGCTCTCGTTGACGAACCTCCATGGGAGTTCTTCTCTATGTCTCTCCCTACTGTTTCTTCCATGAAGGCTAGGCGATAACAGGTCGTACTTCCTTTCTCTGTATAGCTGCTCCCAGGTCCAGGTCGGAATGTATGTCTTGACAGGTCGCACTTGCTTTTGATTATTCCGCTGTTTCTTCTCCCTTCGTTTCCACTCTTTCCTCCGTCTCCCCACCTAGTGTTTACCCTCCCCCTTCTTTCTCTGTTTCCGCTCTTTCCTTTCGTTCTTCCCCTTCTCAATCTCCTCTCCTTCCTCAGTCTCTTCTCGGTCCTCAGTCTACTCTCGTTTTTCCTCTCTTTTCGTCCTTCCTCTTATTTCCTCCTTCCTCTTGTTTCCTCCTTTTTTCCTCCTTCCTCTTGTTTCCTCCTTCCTCTTGTTTCCTCCTTTCCTCCTTCCTCTTGTTTCCTCCTTTTTTCCTCCTTCCTCTTGTTTCCTCGTTTTTCCCTCCGTCTGTTCCCCGCCTTCCCGATTTCCCTTCCTCTGTTTCCCCTCAGATTGCACCGGTTGTAAAATGCGGATTGCGATATTCATCACCGAACATGTTCTGACGCGTGTGAATGGCTGTCCGATCGTCCTTCTTTCTGCGATACATCTTGTGTTCCGTTCCAAGTACATCGTCTGAGGAGCTTGATTGTGACGTGTAGATTGTTCTTATCAGTTTTTCGATCTTGATCGGAATGCTAATCGCCCCTTTCCTGCGCGTGCTGTGGCAATCGGCAGTTTTGGTTCCTGGTACGTGCTGGGCAACTCGGCCTGTGTTCTGACGCATATGGATCATCCTTGTTTGTCCGTGTGTCTCTGCTCGTACGTCCGTGGCTACTCGTTGGGGAGTGCAGTTGGAGGGACGTGTGGGCAAGGAGCCTCTCAAGCAGCAACTAGCGGCGGTGAAGCCAAGGCTCGAGAAGCTTCGAGCGAAGAGAGATCTGAGGGTGAGGGAATTCACGGAGGTTCAAATTCATGTTGCGAGGATTACTGCGGAGTTGTCGGGCGGTATTCCGCCTGTTGAAATCGAGCCTATTGGTCAAGCCGAATTGGATCTTACAGCGAACATGTTGGAAGAATTACAACAGAAATTGCAGGACCTGCAGCGTGAGAAGGTAAGGCTTTTGTCATCTTCATCACCCCGATGGACTTTTTCCCTTAAGCACTCGCCATCAACTTCGGTTTGCCTTCTTTTATCATCCCCCTTTTTCTTTGCCATTTTGCAGTAGGCTTTCCTGTCTTTGACTGGCAATGCACGTTTTTCCACCCTGCTTCATCGTCATTTTCCTTCCACTTGGCACTCCTTAGTTGTCGCAGTGCGTTGTGACAGAAACTGGAGGTTATCGGTGCAGTTTTTCCCTGTGTCCTCGGCGTCAAGTCCTGCATGTGCGCGAGCTTTGCGTTTTTCATCAGCGTATTTTGCTGATCAGTCCTTGTCGTCTTTATCAGAACAACGTAGGGCAGTCTTTAACGGGTGTTATCGTCATCTTTGGAACTTCGTCTCTCTTTTCAATTTTTGGTCTCCCTTCGGTTCCTTCTTCGATCCGCTTACCTTTCAGTCTATATTTCTCTTCTTTGTCTCTCTCTGTTATATCTCGCTCTCTCGTTTGCCTTCTCAGCCCGCTGTCACGGTCATTCGTACGAGACCTGTCCCTTTTTTCTCTTCCTACCTTTTTCTGGTCCTCATTGTTCTCGGTCTTCGGCGCCAATTATATCTACCCTCCTTTTCTATCGGTTTTGGAAATTCGCTGTAAATTTTACCCCTTGGTCTCGTTTGGAAGCGTAGTCGTTAGTTATTCTTGCGAGTCATGTTGACGTCCTTTGAAATCCCCTTGCCAAACGGCGCCTTCTGCCGTTTTGAGATTTATCGATTTTGTTGACATGCCAACCAGGTGCACATCGACGGTCTGTACTGTAGAGACCATGATTGCTGCCTGTCAAAAGTAAGAGGCCCGCTCGAACGTAATGGTGGACTCGAGGAAAGCGCTACTATTATGGGTATTCATGTTACCTCGTGATGCTACGGGCTGGCAGGGTAGCCACGGTGCCGTCTTTTGATCCCTAAGATTCTTCAGGTAGCGTAGGATGGCAATCAATGACCTTTTGAGAAGAACGTGATCCCTAAGATTCTTCAGGTAGCGTAGGATGGCAATCAATGGCCTTGACAAGAACGTGATCCCTAAGATTTTTCAGGTAGCGTAGGATGGCAATCAATGGCCTTGAGAAGAACGTCGACGATACCGCTCGGGGGCAGGCACCGTCTTTTGTTCGTGTAGGTCAATGTCTGGTCGATCTTTAAACCTGCAATCTTTCGTGGAGATATACCATATCATTCAAGAGCTGATGGTTGTTCTCCCACGTTCGGATACTGCTTATGGTCGTCTTCCTCCGAGTCTGTCTGCGCGATCGCACGGCAACGCTCCTCGAATCTGGCTTGCTTTCTAGCCTACAATTACACCTGATCTGGATTGTTCACAGTATGAGGACTTTGACCGAGAATATCATCTCGATCTTTGACTCTTGTATTCCCGTCTAACCATCTTTTCAACTGGTCGGGAGTCTTCATACGAATTTCCGCTTCGTATTTCCCAGTGGCTCGAACGATGATCAGGCAGAATGTTGGTAGGGCGTCGTCATAAACGTTTCCTCAACGTTATCGGAGTAGTGCTGCTTTGGATCCCTTTCTCTGTATCATATTATTATTTGACATGTGGATGTCTATCTAACATGTCCAGGAAGTGGACGCGTAAAGAGCTGTGAAGAGCACAAGTGCAATATGCATATGGCAAATGGGGTGTGTATGTGAGGGTGGGGTTTGCGAAACGGGTTTGGAGGCGGGGGGGAGGAGGCGAGGGAGGGGTGAGAAATGCGAGGGAGGCTGCACATGGAGGCAAGCATCAAGGCTAGTCACAACATACCACACGAGAGAGAGAGAGAGAGAGAGAGAGAGAGAGAGAGAGAGAGAGAGAGAGAGAGAGAGAGAGAGAGAACGAGAGAGAACTGGCAGACTTCCAGCTTGTCATCATCTCATAGATGGCCACAGATTTATACAAGTACTGTTTTCCGAATTGGAGTGGCAGGGACGCATCGATCTGACATTGGCCGCTGATGTGTGCCGAGGCACGTGTATTGGCAAATGTGCGACGTGCGTGCCCCGGGCGGGGTGGACAAAGGGTAAGAGAGGGAGAGATGCGGGAGAGAACTGAGAGGGGCATGGGAGATGAAAATGAAGAGTGAGTGAGAGGGAGGCAGACGGGTGAAGAAGCGGGAGCGGGAATGGGAGAGTTACGTGGCGTGTAACGTGGAAGAGAGGTGGGAGAGAGAGAGAGAGAGAGAGAGAGAGAGAGAGAGAGAGAGAGAGAGAGAGAGAGAGAGAGAGAGAGGGTGTCCGGTTCTTTGGGGGGAAACTGTCGGGGATTATGTCATGCTCCCTTCCCTTAACAACGTGGCGTGAGCAGTCGTGTGCTGGGGAGTACGACATCAAGGACAAGGATTGGTGACATGGTTGATGAAATCGAGCTGATCAGGGTTGTGTGGTTTGTGGGTGCTGTTTGTCTGGCGTGGTCTCTGTTTACTTACAGAGTAGCAGGTTGGACAAAGTGTTGGAGCACGTCCAGATGGTTCATGACCTTTGTTCCGTACTGGGTCTTGATTTCACAGACACTGTAATGAGCATCCACCCTAGTTTGGACGGGACTTCGACGAACAAGAGCGTTTCCAGCGAGACGCTAGAACTCCTTGCCAAAACTGTTCAGGACCTCAAGGAAGAGAAGACGAGACGTATGCAGAAGGTGCGCTTGCCTCAAGTTCGCAAACAGAAGGCTTCTCGTGCTTTCAGGCCTTTCTGATCAACATTTTGACTATGTCGTGGATTCGATTCTTTTGTGCACAGGAGCCTGAAGTATTGACTATGTCGTTTTTGTGCACAGGAGCCTGAAGTATTGACTATGTCGTGGATTTTGACTATGTTGTGGATTTTGACTATGTTGTGGATGCGGGTTTTATCCCTTGGGTTGTTTGTACGTAACATTTTCACAGAGCAAGGGAATACATGGGGGGGAAACGGTAGCTTCTTCTCTAACGGTTTTGGAAATGCGGAAATCGAAAGGTTCTCGGACTTGTGAAAAGCGTTGCAAATTGAGTATGTATCATTTCGCGAGCGACGGGTTGAAAGAAAGAGAAGAAGTATTGCTGATTGTTTCCTTCTGGGTTCCCGTTGTGTATGATGTGATTATTATCCCTCTGTGGACAGCAGCGTTTTTATGCCCTCCGCTGTCTAGGACCAGGAGGTTTTCAGAGATCAAAGAAAGGCTTGTGTGTGTGAGAGAGAGAGAGAGAGAGAGAGAGAGAGAGAGAGAGAGAGAGAGAGAGAGAGAGAGAGAGAGAGAGAGAGAGGCAGAGGTTTTGTACAAATATGCGCGCAAGGATTATGTGCGTGACCGATATTGGAATGAAAGCAAGCAAAGGACTTTTAACGGAAGACCTGGAGATTGACCGTAAGGGCCACCCTGGGCGAGTGTTAGGGTTTTATTTGTTGTAGGAATTGGCTTAGTGTGCATTCAGGTTTGTTGCGGATCTTTTCTTTCGTTTTCCTTTTGGGCAGGGAAAGGGTGAGCAGGCCCGGCATCTGGGCTTCACGAAACGCAGCGCTGGTTTTCAGTATGGAAGCTGATAGACGACGAGAGTGCAGAAAACAAGAACGGTTCGATTGTTGTACACGACATATGGCGCAAGTGCAAGGACGCTTTGGATCGTGCGGTCCTGATGGCACGGAATTGCACAGCACGAGAGATGCGGATGCCACTGTTGCCAAGATCGCTCATTTCAAGGGCTTTTTTTTTTCTCCTATCCCGGTTGCGTTTAGCTATATATCTTCAGTATCTTTCTCTTCTCTCTGTCCCGTCCCAGCAAAGATTTTAAGCAGCAAAGGAATTTAACCCCCGATTGATTAGGAAATTTTCAAGAGGGGTGTACTCTACCGGTAATTTCTCTGCTGTAGATTTGTTTATACCATATTATTATGTGTATTGCTTTGTCAGGTTTGCGGCTCCAGTGCCGAGGTGGTGTGAAAGTGTTTCATGTGAAAAAAAAGAAGGTTTCTGTTCGGCTCGATGGGAAGTAAAAAGAAGAAGAAAAAACGTTACTGAGGCCGTTGTTTCGGGCCGTTGACCGCCTCTCAATTTCGTCAATGTTGGTTTCAGTGGGGTGAAGAAAAAATCTTTGGCAGAAGACGTAAACAGCTACCGTCGACCGTCGAACATAACGCACCCTAAAAATGAATGGATACAAGCTAAATTTCCAGTTCGGTACAGCCGTAATCAGGGTGCGTTGTGTTCGGGGGAAGACTGTTGTCTGAAGAGCAAATATAAGTAAAGTGAAAATGAACGTACGGCCTCAGCGTACCAGCTTCTCATCATCCAGCCGTCTCTACGAGTCTACATGGAATGTAGCTGATGACAGAGATTTGGTAGGTAAATAAATGATCTGATAGCGAAGTGCCTGTGGCCCTTGAACGCCTGCAGAGATGACGTCATTGGGTTGTCTTTACGAGACGGGTAGTCGTCCTGTGCAAATTCATGATGCCGTCTGAAAGTTTTATCTGTTCCAGGAAATCTGAACAGTTTTCAGGAACCCAAATTTTTGCTCGTGTATGTTTGGATTTATGTATTTTTGAATTCTGGTCTTTTGTTTTGTATTTCTTTGTGCGTGCGCGTGTGGCACTAATGTGAACTCTGCGTGTTTACTAACCGCTGCAAGCCTCTCAGAGGATGACGTCACATTAAACGTTGCAAACCCTTTCAGAGCATGACGTTACTTCGCGCTGATGATCTCTTGATTTTTCTGCTGATAATGTCTTGATTTTGACTTCCAGCTAAGACATTGAGGCCGTATAAAAGAAAAAGAAAAAAAAAAAGACATTGAGGTCGTTGATCTGATGATGTATTTTGTGGTACATGTGCAGCTATCTGAACTCGGCGCTACAATGGTCGAGCTATGGAGTCTGTTGGATATCCCTGAATGTGAGCAACAACCTTTTATGAGCATAGCTATGAACATTGCGATGAACGAGACGGAGATGGTTCACCCTGGTGCTGTCAGCGTCGACGTGCTCAAAGCGGTAAGCAAGGTCAAGGTTTCGGTCTTTGCTGTTGGATTTAGTTAATTTGGCTGACCTTGACCTTGAAGGTCGGATGGAGGTCAGGTAAAGGTCACCCCCTCGTATCTGTCGGTTATGAGCGATTTGTGCATGAATTTTGTTTTTTTGCTCGCTACTGTATTACGTTTTTGCTGGAGCTATGGAGAGAATGCATTCCAAAACTCTGATCTGTGGACAAGGGTTCAATTTTCTCACCGTTTTTTGGGTTAAACTTTCTCACCCTTCTTACACTGCGTCGGTTGTAAGGCTAATCTACAGAAGTCTACCGCCTTCGCCTGAATAGACACGCCCGGTCATTGAAGCTGTCTTTGGAGTAATTTTCAGTCCAGATGCAGCTTTAATGACCGGGCGTTCTCCGCGGGTGAAGACGGTAGCGTTGGTGGCAGTGCACTGTACACCCAAGTCCTGCCGGTAGTGGGAGTACAGTGTACGCCAGACCCGTCAGTTTGGCTATGGGTTTCAGCCTCGACGGTTAACTTAGGGAAACACGAGTGCGTAAAATTCATGGTTGGTTAAATGACAGGACTGGAGTCGTTGAAACTTTAGAATAGATCCTGTGGCATTACTTCACTTTAACAGTGCCCTCGCTACCTTCATTATAGCTGTATGTAGACGGAAAGGTGCCACAAATTCAGCGGAAAGGTGTCACAAATTCAGCTTTAACAGTGCCCTCGCTACCTTCATTATAGCTGTATTCTTCCCCCGAATACAACGTACGGTCATTATAGCTGTATGTAGACGGAAAGGTGCCACAAATTCAGCTATAATGAGCGTACGTTGTATTCGGGGGAAGACTGTAGGAGAGGTGCGAAGAGCGCCCCCCCCCCCCCCGCGCCCTTCCTCTCTAGCGGGCTTCCGGGTTGTCTCGAAAAAGCATTTGGACTGTGAACTCTACTTTCTGATATATATTGTTTATAGTAGCCCTAGCGTGGTAGGTAGGTAGTGTGTGAGGTGAAATTGAGAGTAGAACATAGCTTTAGAAAAAATAAAATAAAAACAAAATGTTTTGATCATAGAGCGTTAGTTATTCGATCGCGTTGAAGACTATATCTCTGAACAGCCTACCCGGAAAAGCATTTGGACGGTCAACTCTACTTTCTGATATATAGTTTATAGCCGCCCTACCGGTAGCGTGGGGAAATGTTTTGATCATAGAGAGCAATGGCCGTTTCTCTGCTGTACTAAACGGGACTCAGTCTTCTTTAGTTCGAAAAGAGAAACCGCCATGTCGGGGGAAGTGGACGTTTTCAGATTGATCGTGAACCTGGACAGGAATTCAATTTCATATCTGGTCTGATGAACTGCTCATTCGAATCAGACCGAATTCAAACTTCCACTAACTCTTTGAGAGAGGGACCCGGACATTTAATGAATCACAATTTTTTTATTTTTTATTTTTAATCAATGAAGGAGTCCTTGACTTGCCCATTCATATAGGTAATCTCGTAGTTTGATGATGTTTCCTTACCAGGCCCGGTAGGTTATTTATTGATAAGAAGGCGGGAAAATGCAGCAGAGGTCAGATACCCGTTTCTGTGAGTACGCATGTTGATTTCTTGCTACTTATGGGCACTCCCTCACCGTTGCTCAACTCTTGAAGATCTGCCATCCCGAATATTAACCAGCGGGATGCATGAACGAGTTTTCTTTTTCTTCTCTCTTCGGCCTACTTTTGACTGCTCTCTCTTTCTCTTTTTCTTCTCTTCGGCCTACTTTTGACTGCTCTCTCTCTCTCTGTGTCTCGCTCTTTCCCTGTCTCTCTCTCTCTCTCGCTCTCTCTTACTCGTATTCTTTGCAATACAGGCGGAGCTGGAGGTCCAAAGATTGGAAGCTGTGAAGCAAGGGAAGATGAAAGAGCTTGTCTCGAAAAAGCGAAGAGAGCTTGATGAGATCTGTGCGAAATCGCATATCATTCCTCCGGAGAACACGTGTGAAGAGCGCACGTCAGCCATTATCCAAGCAGGTGGGTGGTTTCCCTCGCGTCTACTCACCGAGTCCGCCGCTGGTAATGCTTGTTGTGCAATTTGTCGATCATTTTTGAAGATTCTAGAAGAGGACGAAGTACACTTCCGGGCAAAGTTGCTGTGCAATTTGTTATCACTCTGTTTCATGAAGTTGCTGTGCAATTTGTCGATAATTTGTCCGTTCACAAGAGGGGTCTGTTCGCAACTCCGCATTGTCCACGACGATCTCTTTTTTTTTTGTCCATGACGATTGCATGTGCGCTTGAGCAGTGGGAAATAATTCTCCCCCCTACTACCGTCTTCCCCCGAACATAAACGCGCACTAAAAGTGAACGGTTAAGCTATATTTCCCGCGGTAGTAGCTATTCGTTGTGCTCATCAGCGTTTTCAATCTCGAGTATATGCTGAATCGATGCTTGTGAGCGTTTGAATCTGCGTCCCCGGAAGATACCCAAATAAGTGGTACTAACCTTAGGGGACTTGCGAATCATACCAGAATGCTATGCTATGCTTCGCAGAGCCCTGGATCAAGTTCGTGGGTTTGTCCACTATTACGTATTTATCACTCGCCCGAAAAATATTTTTGCACTCCCTCTTGAGACGTTGATGTCCTAAGAATTATTTCATCTTTTTTTTTTTTTTTTTTTTTTTTTTGATTCTTGAGGTGAAACTCAAAGCCCTTCCTGGTCCATCTTTAGGTCTTCTAATTTTTGCGGCCGACGTGCAGGTGTTGTGGATCCCTCGGAGTTGCTGAGCACCATCGAAGAGCAGATTTTCCATGCGAAGGAAGAGGTGGCAAGTCGAGCTGCAGTTCTCAGCTTGATGGAGAAGTGGAAAAATGCCTGCGAGGAGGAAAAGTGGCTCGAGGAGTATAACAAGGTTCGTTCTCCCTTACGTGTCTGCTTTTGTTTGAAGAGGACAATGTTTTATCATGGTTTCGTTTCTTTCATGCGAAAAAATACCATCGTCTCTATTCCGTCCCTGATGTCTGCGTTTTAAGTGAGGCTATAGGCCTAGTTGCACTACTCGCCATACGCCGACCTTTTTTTTTTTATAACGGGCCCAGTGCCCAAGGCTTATGTTTCCAATAATATACGCCAAGTTTGGAGAGTAGGCGCCTGGTTGCACTTACTGGCCAAACTTGACGAATGCAAAATGTGCCCGACGGCTGCCACACTGTAGAAGAAATATAGTGACGAGTAAGTGCAACCAGGCCTCGAGTTCGACGCGATTCTCAGTTTTTTCACTCTCCACGCATCCGCCACGAAATGTGACGGATGGCGAGTAGTGCAATTAGGCCCTATGCCAGCGCAAGGTTTTCCGAGATATCGGGCCTCGCTGGGCCACTCTCCAAATGTGCAAAATGAGACTGAATCCACCGCTAGAACATGTAAAGATACATTGCCATCCTCTGTGCATGTGGATAGTAGTGCAGCGAGGTCCATCGCCTCTCAGTTCGGGTGCAGCAAAGCCATCATGTGTTCTTCTCCACATGCCTTGGGTGGGTGACATGCCTCCTTGCGTCGCACAGATGTGTCAGTCGCATGATGCCGTCAACGCCGCAAAAGAATAGGCACCTTGCTCCGCTACTCGACATGAACAAACGACAAAAAAACAAGCCACCTCGCTCCAGTACTCTCGACATGCACAAAAGACAAAAACTATTGCGTTGTATCTTTCCATGCTCTAGCGGAAGGTTGGCTCTCGTTTTGCACATGTCGAGAGTATTGGAGGCCTACTGGCTACCGTCTTCCCCCGAACACAACGCACCCGTATCTTGGTTGTACCTGCGTTATGTTCGGGGGAATACGGTAGTTTCCGGAGCCGGGGTAAACATGCGGCTAAGGGCCTTGGCGCACTACTCGCACAATGTGAAAATGACATAACTACGGTGGCGGTTAACCCTTACATTTGGTATGGATACTCGGGGCCTTGGCACACCTCTCGAAATGTGAAAAATTCGACAATGCGGTGGGTGCATCTGGCCATGTTCTAGCAGGAAGCTCATTCTCATTTTGTACCTTTCGAGAGTGGTGTGGCGATGACACACTTACACTTCGAGAGTTGTGAAACTGAAATATGCCGCAGCTACCTTCACGTATGGAGTCTGAGCTCTGAATTTAGGGCCAGGCCGAGCCCCAATTGTGCCATATGTGCATGCTACATCGGAGCTCGAACCTGGACGTGTCACCGATCAGGAGCATCCCTTCCTAGGTTGAACATAGCACCAGCAGGAGCATGCCGCTACCTGCCAAGGAGTGACTAATGAATGCAATGCGTGGAACTCACCACCAGGATCTTTTGGGAAAATTGACCGTACTCGATCTTCTGTAGTTCTGTCTACTTTGTCCACCCTTATGACCAGTCCAGACAGTTCAGTAGATGTCGTTTGGCAACCTGTGTTAGACTGATGACACCGAATTTTTTCCTTTTCCTTGAAGGCCAGCTGTCTTCAGAATTTCATTCACCTTGTTGCATCTCGATTCAAACTCAGGCGTACACTTCAAAAGTTGGTAGGTTTACCAACTGATCTACGCCCGTGGTTAGAACCGAAGTTGTTGGTAGGTTTACCATCTGATCTACGCCCGTGGTTAAAACTGAAGTTCGGCAGATGTGTTGCGGAGGCCAGCTGATGAGAGCGGTGTTCCGTCAGCTTTGCATGTGAAGAGTCCGTTAGTATGTCATGCAGTGAAAAGGAGCCTTTTCGGTTAGAGACATTTGTTATTTCTCGTTGACCTGAATTTAGCGACAGCTCGGCCTCATGTTCAATAATCTCTGAGGACGTGCCGACACTCAGTTATCTCATTTCGCTGATCGTCTTTCGTTTGGTCGAAGGGCAAACGAAGGCGGCATCACTTAATAAAACGACAAGTAGCCGCCACTTCGATTGTCCCGATCCTCCTTAAGATCATCAGCGTAGTTTTCTCCTCACGGTGAGAGAAGACCGGTAACCCTTCGACCTCAATAAAACGACAAGTTTTCTCCTCGATTCGATTGCCCCGATCCTCGTTCCGTCACGCCGTCGGCAGAATTTCGTGACTCGTCGACCTTTCATGTCGTCGGAAGTCGAGCCGGTTTTTTCTTACATTCCGTTTTGGGCACGACACCTGATTTTCAGTTTCCTTCGTACGCAATTTTCAGAAAAAGAAAAGACAGTTACTCTGACTTGCCAGCCACGAAAATCATTGCGTTGATGAGTCCAACTGCCTTTTTTGGTAAGGGCCACGTCGGCGGCGGGCTTTGCAGTCACCTGCGAGCTACGCTCCGGTAGCTGTCGAACGCTACACTCTGGTAGCTGTGCAACAGGGCCGTCTGTAGCATAAGCTCGAAGTTGGCTACCGTCTTCATCCGAACGCCCGGTCATTATAGCCGTATCTGGTGCAATTTTCAGTCCACATACCGCTATAATGACCGGGCATTCTATTCGGGTGGAGACGGTAGACGGATTATCAACCTGCAGATCCGTCATTAAGGTTGGTAATGAATGTTCTCATTTTTTGAAGTTGTGAATGCTGTATGTTGGTCTTCAGACAGCCTCTCGAAATGTGCAAAAGGAGAGTGAATCTTCCGCTAGAATATGGAAAGATGCACCGCCATCATTTTTGTCTTTTGTGCATGTCGAAAGTAGTGCAGCGACGCCCTAAGTGTTCTCTTGCTCATCCGGTCGCTTCAGCTATCCCTCTGGCTTGGATAGCCATCCTAGAGTTTATCTCTTCAGAGAGGAAAGGTTCAAGAATAGGAATGGCAGCCTGGCAGCTTGGCCATCCTGCATCGGGTCGTCTAGACATGCAGGTGCAGATTCTGTACCTGGCCATCATCATATCCTACGGTGAGTTCTGACGACCCGGGCCTAGGTTCCATTTGCAACGCGGATTTGATTTAGCTCCTGAATCTATCTGGACGTGTTTTAGCAGAGATGCAGAAAAGCTGTTCAATCTCGAATTTCTGCACTTTTCCAGGAACACGTCTAGATGCAGGCGCTCAATCCAATCCTCTTTGCTAGTGGGACCTCGCCCCCGGATAAGCTCTCTCGAGCTTTGTCCTATCGGGCGGCTGCGATCGGCGCTGAGCATGGGGCTCGCTCGGCTACTCTCGACATGCACCAAAGACATTCCATGTTGGTGTTTTTTTTGTTTTTGTTTTTGGAGAATTTGCACATTTCGAGAGTAGTGGAGCGAGGCCCCATATGCGGCAGGAAGGTGTAAGAGTTGTTTTTTTATATTTCGTTGGTTGGGAAATGTGGGAGTTGCTACTTGTAGCTGGCCGCTGCTATGTGAGAAATGTCGCAAATGCCCTCCAGTGAGCTGAGTACAGCTGGCCGCTGCTATGTGAGAAATGTCGCAAATGCCCTCGAGAGAGCTAAATACAAGTGTAGCAGCTTCAGTCGGTCTCATGGCTTCATCTGTAATTTCCGGCACGAGTGTGTTCCTTATCATTTTCTAGTACACTTGCGCAACGTCTGGATGAGTTATCCTCCCCCAAAAACCTTGGCTCGATAGGTCCGCGCTACCTGTAGAGTACCCTATTTTGTCTTATGGCTTTACGATCCCAGCACTCCCGGCGGCTTATCGTACGTTCTCCGACGGGAATGCTGGGCGCCCTCTCTGTGTCTTGTCTTTTTTCCCTTCTTTTAAAAAAAAAATAAAACTACGATATATTCTTCTCTCAATTTCTCCTTTCATTATCTTCCTTCCACTATTCCTAAGCCTATACAGCGGACCCCTGCAAGCATATCTACCTCTCACAATTAAGGGGATGCATGTCGCCCCCCACCCTAATCGCCGGTGGTAAGGGAGAAGGGTGGGGCCGCCGGTGGGGGGGGGGTTCCGGCTAACTCAGAGACAGACCATTTTGTCAGTAAGCTGCGCCTCCAACTGGTTCCCCCAGCCCCCCCCATCGAGTAGCAGCAATTGCTATGGCCAACACTCTCCCACACACCACACACAACCCACTCACGCTCACACTCACACACTTGCTGGTCATATAGACCCCTTCTAATACCGATCCGGGGCATCAAGCGGATTATCACAGTCGGTTGGCACTAAGTGTCCTTCCACTGGCAATCTTTTTGAATATCCAAAGGGGAAAAAAAAAAATCTGGTCGTAGACCTCCCTGTGGTATAGAATGGGGGGCACGTACCAGCAATTACGCGGCACCACGAGGCCGAGTTCCAGAAGCGGCTGGATCGAATGGGTCTTTTTCTTTTCGTTTTTCGGGCTTTTCCTTCAAGACCATGCGATGTCCGAATAAAAAAAGGAATCTCGTGGCCACGTACCTCGGGAGCAGCCCCCGCATGTTCTCTCGTGAACACGGTTCTGGCTGCTACGGGGCTTCCCGTATGCGTGCAATTAGGAGTAGTGGTAGGTAGGTAGTGTGCGGTGAAATTGAGAAGAATATAGGTTAAAAAAAAAAATAAAAAAAAATCCTAAGGGCTTCGCCACATCACTGTCGAAAGGAAAAAAGAAATAGCGCATGCACTTGTTTTAATAAGATGCATCTCACCACTTTTGGGGGAAGATGCATTCATTCGTTTTTGGTTTGTGTGGGGAGGCCGTAAGTCCTTCGGGAACGATACTGAGGGCATACTCACACTGGGACCTATAATCCCACCCCCCCCCAAAAAATAGGGTAGCGGGCCGATCACACAGATTTGCCAAAGTACCAAATGCATTATTGGTGTGCCCATTTGTCAGCGGCCTGGGAAGCCGCGGGGCAAGGGATTTTGCTGTCACCTCTGGAGGTGACCGCAAATGCCCCATTTGTGTTTTCGCATTTTCTTCAAAAATTGGCAAAAATTCGTTCATAAGAGTTCCTGGACAATTTGTGGATGGTCCCGTGTGACCAGCGAAGTAACAAATCCCCATCTCTTCAGACGGCG